GGTTAAAATGACATTCAACTTGAGAAGGTGAAAAAAATAATGAAATAAAGGAAATTAATAAAAATGAAAACAAACCAAAAAAAATCATAAAATGGTAAAATAATAAATTAAGATATAAGTCCCAGAGTTGGTTCTTTGAAAAGTCCAATAAAAGAGGCTAATTCTGAAAAACTAATCAGAATAAAAAGGGAAAGCACAGACATGACATTATGGATGAGAGAAAAGAATACAGTAACTCCTTGTGAGCAAATTTGAAAATCTTAACAGAGTCATCATATAGGAAATTTAAATTGCCAAAAACTTACAGAACAGGAAGAAAGTTTAAAGAAGCTAATGAGCATGGAATAAGATTGAAAAAGTTGTCAAAGAATTATTTCCTAAAAAGGCACTAGACTTGGACAGATTTATACATGTTATAAAAACTTCAAGGAGCAAAAAATTCTAAATATTAAACTGTTTAAGGGCATAGAAAAAAGAGAGCACGTTTCCCAAGTTTTTTTTTTTAAAGAAGCTAACACAAACCTAACATCAATACCCGACAAAGACAGCAGAAAAAACTATACAACTATCCATCTTAACATAAACAAAATTCCAAAATAATGAGCAAACCAAATCCAGAGTATTTTTCTTATTTTAAAGCTCTTATTTTCATCATACAAGTAATACAAGAACCGTGTAGAAAAATCAGAAAATACAGATAAGAACACAAAATAAAAATCTACCATAAACCAACCCATCATAAATAACCACTGTTAACACTGAGTGGAGATATATCCTGGAAGAACAATATGTCATGACTAAATAAGATTTTTCTAGAAATGCAGAGAGGGTTTAACATTAGCAAATTTATTAAAATGATTCTTATTAAATCATGATAAAAACCATTTGATCATTTTGACAGATGTGAAAAAAGGCATTTAATAAAATTCCAACACCCATTACTGATAAAACTTTCAGCAAACTAGGAAGAGAAGTGTATAACTTTAATATATAAATTCAAATATTAAGAATATCTTATATTAAGAGGCAAATGTGTACTTCTGGAGAAACAGTAGCGGTTTCTCCTCTAGAGTGGAGAAACACTATATTCTCGCCAAGTAAAAAGTGTATATAAAGAAGAATGTACAACATCAGCACAATTTATAGACATGTTATTTAACATTGTCCTAAGATTGCTGGTCAATGTGATAAGGAAGTGGAATAAGATAATTAAAAATATGGAGGTAAAATTATCACAATTCAGAACTTCTTATCTACCTGAAAAAGGCAGAAGAATTATTAACAATAAAACTATTAAAATGAAAGGAAATTCAGTAATTGGCTAGTTACAGAATAAATAAGTAACCAACTGCCAAGTTAAACAAGCCAGCAAACAACCACACCACTCTCTATGCAGAGTTAAGAAGAATGAGGTAGATTGATATGTACTGACAGGAAGATGTCCAAGATCTATCGCCAAGTGAAAAATGCAAGCAGTAGAAGGGTGGTATCATACGGTCAAAATGCTAAAACCTATTTTAGGAAAAAAAACTGAGGACTATGCATCAACTATTGACTTTATCTTGGGGCAGAGGAATTTTGATTATGGACAACTTTCAATTTCTAGATTATGTTTTTTCATAATGTTTACATTTCCACAACTTATAACATTTTAAGTCAGAAAAATCAGTGGATTTAATTTTTTTATAAAGTATTATTTTATTTTGGTGGGAGGAGGTAATTAAGTTTATTTATTTTTGGAGGAGATACTGGGGATTGAACCCAGGACCTTTTATATGCTAAACATGCACTCTACCACTTGAGCTGTACCCTCCTCCCAATTTTTTTTAAAAAAGTAATGGTATACCTTTATACTAACAAGCAGCTAGAAAATATAATGGACAAAACAGCTCATTTACCATAGTAACCACAACTACAAAAAATTACCTATACTAGAAAAAATACACTGAGGGACATAATACTTTATAAATCTACTTAAATGAAAGGTTAAATATTACAAAGATGTTAATTCCCCCTATAGTAACCTATGCATTTTACACAATCCAATTTCTAATTCTTCTAAACATTACAAAATGATCTTGAATTTCTTTTGGAAAGATTAACATACGAAAAGTACTAGGACATTTTTGAAGAAGTTTAATTAATGGAGACATTTAGTCTAAATCTGCGATGATCAAACAATGTGGTACCAGCGCCAGAATGTGCAAACAGACCACAAGAGAAAGTTCAGAAGCATGCTTAACAATATTGCGTATGTAGTGAAAATGGCATTTTGTAACAGTAGAGAAAGGACAGATTTCCTAATAAATGATTCTGGGGTAGTTTCGAAAATAAATTCCACCTGGATCACAGATTTAATTGTTTAAAAGAAACAATGAAAGTATAAGAATAAAATACTGGTGAAAATTAATACAATCTTGGAATCAAAATTGCAAAGATAAGCAAAGGTAGCAACCATAAAAGACAGATTTGACTAAAAATTTTTTTTAAATGTCAACATTTTTTTAAAAAGCCATACATGCAACTTAAAAAAAAATAATGTTTATGGGAAAAAAAATTCTTAGAAATCAATGAGAACAGCTAAACACCTTGTAAGAAAACTGGCCAGAGCAGATAACTAGGTAAACTAGAAAAGAATAAAGTCTAATAAATATTTTTGCTAGTGCACTTTAATCAAAAAAATGCCAATAAAAGATGCCTATCAAAACTAGCCCGGCAGTTCCCATGGTAACACCAGCGTGAAAGAGGGAGTCCGACATTCTCACACATTGCTGGTGGGAATTTAATTTGGTATCATCTTCCTGGAAGGCAATTTGAGTCAATATATATTAAAAGTCCTCAAAATGTGTGTACTTTTTTATTGTTGGTCAGAATAAAAATATGTTATGCTGCAGTAACAAATTAACCCTGACATCCCAGTGGTGTAACCCTGAACGTTTATCCTTTACTCACACTACGTCCATGCAGGTGGGTGGGTAGCTCAGGATATCATGACAGGAGATGCAGTCACTCAGGGACCCAGGCTGACAGAAGGTCCACCCCTGGGATGTCACCATCTCTGGGGCCAGGCGACAGAGACTGGAGACCTTCACAGGGGCATCTCACAGTCTTAGCCTGGACGTTTCAAACGTCACATCAACTCACACTTCATTGGCCAGAATTAGTAACAGGAACCTGCATGACTATAGGGCCTGGAAAGTGGCGTATCCTGTGCGCTCAGGAGGGAGAGGGGACAGAGCAGCATGTGTTACCGCCCATCACACTTTTGAAACAGCAAGTCCAATTTTAGAAAATGATCCTAAGTAAGTATTCTGAATAGTTCACAAAGATGTTAGACGAATGGATTTCATCACATCCTTGAGCACAACAGTAAAAAACTGTAAACAACTTAAGTGTCCAAGGAATAACCAACATAGATGTTAAAACTGATGCAATTACATATTTACTGTTATAGAAATATATTCACAATAGAGTGTTTAAGGAGAAAAATGCAAGTTATAAAACATTTATGTATCATATGATTATATCTCATGAAAGAAGTAATAAAACACATAGAGATGCATACAAAAAAGTCTGAAAAGATATATACCAAAACGTTAACAGTGGTTATAATAAGATGGAGTAAAAACAGGTGATTTTTTTCTTATCATCTGTAGTTTCTTTTTTTTTAAAGTATATATTATTTATGCGCGAAAAAGGCATTTAAAAAGGAAAAAAAACCAGTATTCTTGGGAGAGGCCACTTATCCACCTCATACTAATCATTAAATTCTTACATTTGATGCAAGAAATGCCTAAATTGTCTGTCACACCAGAAGACACTGCTACAACGATTTAATAAAGTCAGGACTTTATATTAAAAGCAGTACAATAGGGGAAGAACAGTAACACGTTCCCCACAGCGGCATATCATCGGACCTGTCAATCATCTGCCAAACGTCCAAACAGCCTGGACTCCACCGTGGTTTCTTTGGGCTCCTGCCAGGTGCACCGGGGGTCTGTGGCTGGGGGGCCACTCTTCACAAGGCTCTGCATTCGTCAAAGAGAGTAGGGCACTGTACAACTCTGCTCAGAACAAAAGACCCCCATGTTCTTCTCAGAAATGGATTCCAGAACACATAGCATCACCACCAGGGTGATTCAAGACTCCTCTTAGCTACATATATTTTTTACTGAAAACTCTTCCTTGTTGTTTCTTCTGCCTCCCACTGCTTCTCCCCCAACACACACACACACACACACACACTCTGTCTCTCTCTCTCTCTCTCTCCAAAGTTCACTAGAACATTTCATCCAGCTGCCAAATTCTTACCAAAGTCACCTTCTTGCTAGCTGGTGTTTAAAGAGGAAGTGGAAACCTCATATTCTTGAGATAGGTGTACAGAAAAGACATGTAAAATGACACACGTTTCCACACAGGATTCCTTCTCCATGCCGTCACCCCCACCATCCCCAGAATATACAATATTTTTGGGGGGGGGGAACCGGGTACTCAGAAATTAGGATCATTTTAAACCATGCATGTCATCTAAAAATATATATGGATGTTGATTTGCAAGCTTCTAGTTTAAATCACTGCTTCAAAATTCAGTGGTGTTTCAAGTGAAAAAAGAATCATAGCTTTTAGAAGGACGACCAGCACAAATCGCCACTTTTAGTGATGAGCAGAGGGCAATGGCTGGCTCTCTCACAGGGCAGCCTCTGCCGAGTGCCTCTGCTAAGTCCCATCACGGCCGCCTGCTTTCTAAAAGTGTACCAGGCCACATGACACATCCCACAATAAGGTCCCTGGCACGCCCTGGGGTTGGCTGTCATCCAAAGTTGCCCCTGATTTCTATAAAAAAGCAGTCTGTTCTATAGAAAAGGAGTCTTTTCAAAACAGGCAGATCGTGATGCCCCTAGGCAGCACATTAAGTATATTCTACCCTTTATTTGATGTTTTACGGCAAATGCAGTACATACCAGCCATGCATCGGCCAAACATCACCCAGGCTGTGCCCATGGGCTGCCCGAGTCTAGAGACGTCCATGAGGAGTCTGCAGGACGGAGACCAACTGCCCACTGTGGACAGTCAGTCCTCCTGGGGGTCGGTCAGGTCCCACTCATCTGCTCTGACCAGTGGCTGGCCTGCTCCCTCCCCAGGGCTGGCTCTGGTCTGGGAAGAGGGTAGGCAGGGACAGGTGACCCCCACGCCCCTACCAGAACTCTGCTTACTGCTCTGCCATCACGGGACTCCTGTTTCTTTTAAAGAAACTGCTGTGTCTCCTCGAAAACCATCAAAGAAAGAACTCAGAGTGTTCGCGTTTCATCACTCTGGCCTCTCAGAGCACTGACATTACTTTAACCAACAGTCTCTTGGAAGGATCCCTGCAAAACCAGAACCATTCAAAATTGGAACCAACTGTTGTAGTGAATGTAAATGCCCTTCTGATTCACTCATTTACACGCTGTCATTTGCTGTGGACATATGTTAACATAGTGTAACTGCAAGGTGCTCTTATCAGGATACAAGAGAATCTTTTTTTCTTGGCACCCAAAGGTCACCCAAGGGAGAAGAGAGCATGGCTCACAGAGCTAGATCAGGGTCCAGGAGACCTGGATGCAGCCACACTGCTGCTCCTTAGCTGGGTGACCCTGGATGTGTCCCTTCCGTCTCTGCTTCCTCTGCAAAATGGGGAGTGATCTCTGCCCTGTGCTTTCACCTCAACCAGGTCTAAAGTGGCAGCGTGCAGGACAGTGTGGAACAGACGTAGCACCGTGTGGACGCTGGCTCTCTTTCAAGGCCTGGCCGCACCATCCCTGCCTGTCACTTGGGTGGTTTTCTCTTCATTGGGCACCAGGAAGACTTCATCTCCCCTGGTCGCTCTCAACTGTGCAATGCACCCAGGGAGTCTTTACTGGGAATGAAAATTATCTTTAAGTGTCATTATAGTTAAAGGATTCCAAATTTTATTTTGCTTTTTTTCCTCAGGTTTCACAGAGGCAGGAGGGGAAAAAGGCTAATCAAGGTCCAGGCAACCAGTCTTAGAGATGTCAAATCAGGAGATATCACTTGGAAATGGAAATGCAGTCCTGGCTCTAAATCCTCCAGCAGCACAACGTGGCCGGGATGTTTGTGAGTGAAAGGTTTACACTCTGCCGGTGCTAGACGTCAGATAAGGACAACCAAAGGGCACCGGTGCTGAGCCTGGAGCTGGACGTCCTAACAACCCAGGGTGGGGTAAACTGGCTCCAGGGAAACGGGGCGAACTCAGCGGTCACCCTTGTTATACCCGGTCTCCCCCCACAGCGCCAGGGGCTGTCAGGCAGGGCCAGTCTCTCCAATGACTGCCTAGGTTGTCCCGGGCCATGTTTTTCTTTTTAAGTAAATGAAGAAACATTAAGCTCTAGCAGAAGGAACTGAAAGGCTTTTGTAAAGTTGTGCTTTCCCTGCTGAGCCCAACTTAGCTCCCCCTTTAGAGGAATCCCCACTGCTCTTAGCTCCTGGGCTGCAGGACTTAGAGCTGGCTGGGCCGCGCAGTGCGGGGATCTCAGCTCCTCCCCCATCATCTACAAGGGCTCACCAAGCTCTTGCCCGGTTGGTGGGCGGGAGTCACGGGTCCTGACCGCACAGGGACACCGTGGCCCACCGTGGTAACGGCCCTGCTGCCGCCAGCGTTTTCTACAGTCTCTGCTAAGGAACGTGCAAGTGGCTCTGACAAGTCTGTCCTCCCATGAATGTGTCCCCTGAGCAGGCTCCAGTCAGTCAAGATGGTTCCTTCTGGATCAGTAAGCCACCTAACAGACAAGGCGGTGGGCCTCCAAGGACCCAAGCTGAGGCTTCAGAACTGCAGCACCCACTGCTCCTGGGCGGCACCTCGCCCAGTCTGCTGACAGCGGGACTGCTGGGCTGTGGGGCCGACTGGCGGCCAGCCCAGCTGTCTGGTCTCCTGGCCAGCAGGGAGCTGCTACCGCTGTCCTGCTCTGGGGACGGGGCAGGAGTGCCCGGTCTCAAATCACCAGGAGGGCTGACCGCACTTTCCACTGCCACCTGCCACTGGCCCCGTGCACTCCACCGAAGCTGCCCCACTCAGCCTGCGGGTCTCCCCTCTGTGCCCCGGAGCCCCGGCTCACCAGCCCTCCTTCTTTCCCTGTCCCAAATAAGACCTCCCTGACCAGGGAGACGGTCTCAGCCACACGAAGGAGAGCAGCAGGACTTGTAAAGTCGCCTTGGGGTCTAGGTCTCATTAGTGTGTACCCCACCCCCCTCCCCAGGCTATTTTATTGTTTATCTAAATTCAGCAGGGAGAGATTCTAACACGTGGGAAAATCCTTCAGAGGGGGCGCTCTCTCGGTGGTTCTCAAAGCAGGTAATGGGGCATCAAAGTCTCTCCCTCCTCCAAAGGCATTTAGAAATGCCTATGGCCAGGGATTCAGACCATCTTGTATGTGGCAAACCAAATGCTCACTGTCCCCCTGAGAATCTTGGTAAGAGAGGGGAGGTTTACGGCTCTGGTTCCTTCCTTAGCAGGAACCGAGAGAGGCAGGAGGCAGACCAGGGCAGAACTCCTCTAAGGCAAGGCTCAGCCTCTCTGAGCCAACTCATCCCCTTGTGGGCCTGCGTGATTTCTTTTTCAATTGTCTAAACCCAATAAAGGATACCGCCCTAGATTCCAAGCCCTGGGCAGCCCCTACACGCAGTCAGTGGTCCTGGAATCCCCAGGCCTGGAGAGGAAGGGTGGTCCCAGCGGCAGAGGGCCCAGGGACAGAGCACCATGGATGGGCTCCTGGGGGGACAGGCAGAGCACCCCAGACCAGCTTCTGCTGCTTCCACTGCCACCCTCCCAACCCCAGAACCACCCGAGCCAGTCCCCCAGTCCGACCACAAAGCTGCATTCACATCTGATCACAACCCAGCGCGCCATGGGGTGGATTGTTCAACAGGGAGGGGCTTGATGGGCTCTGCTGGGGGATTTGATTAAAACACTAAATTCTGTTTACACGTTTAATCGAACAAATATTTATTAAGCACCTACTTGGTGCCAGGCACTGTGCTAGGCACCCTCACCATGTGCTGTTCCCACAGCACAGTCATCTGCTCAGAAATTAAAACCAAGAAAAGGAACATTGTCGCAACCCTACAAACTGGGGGCGGGTGGCAGCGGGCCCAGTGGATGCAGGCAATTCCAGCGCCAGGAAACGCACCCACCAGAAACTTGTTTCCTTTCTCGGGACAAGTCTCAACTAAGTGGTTGTTCTAAAGCATCTCCTCATTTACTGAGAGGGAAGTTGCTATCACACGCCCCACGCACTGGTGCCTGGTAGACATCTGAATACTCTGAACGTTTCTCAAAAAAAGGAGGTGGAAAGGGTATTCATATTTGGATTAGAAAATACTTTTTTTTCAGTTCATATGGTTGCAACAGCCCTTAAGAAAGATATAAACATCCCTGCCCTGACTGCGTAAACGTTTAAGGTAGACCTAGTTCTGGATTCCTGAGTCAGAACTGTCCAGTGGTCCACAGCCTCGCAAGGCCAGAGACACGAGGGGAGATGCTATTCTGGAGAGGAGAGAGTGGACGGCACACCTGGTGTGGAAACACGACACACTGCGCCTGCATTTACAGAAGCGATGTGGACGGGAGGACTCACGAGCGGCCTAGTTGTCAGAGCCCAGCTTCGAGAGGCCCCGGCGGAAGTCGTGCAGGTCATCTATCTTCCCGTCCAGCACCTCCAAGAAGCTCTTCAGCTCCACCTTTAGGTGGCGCTGTCGGTACTTGCTCTCCTCGATGTCCGTCTTCAGGGAACGCACCTTGTCTTCCAGGTTCTGATTGTCTCTCTCTGCCGCCTGAAGCAGAGAGAGATAGAGGGAGAGAGAGAGAAGGGTTTGGGGGGACAGAGCCATAGGAGGGGCTGCTGATTCCCACGGCTGCCAGACCGCCTGTCCCCCTGTGGGCCTGCCTCCCTGGAGGTGTTTGTCCCCCCCGGCATCAAGCATGGGCCCCTCCTGTCCTGCTGTCCTCCGGTAGAGGTGCCAAAAGGCGGACTGCCCAGCCAACATCTGGCCTGAAAAGCGATGTCCCCACACAGAATGCTTAACTGGGCAACCTGACCAAGGGAGCCTGATGTTAATTGACGCTTTCACAAAGTGCCCCAGGCTCAGGGTGGTCAGCAGAGGCCCCCTTTGAGTTCCATTCAGAGAGAGAGAGAAGCAGCACAAATGGGAGACTGACTTGTTTCCCCGGGTTCCACTGAGAAGGTGAGGCCTCCATGGCCCCAGGCCAGTCTCTGGCCGTCAGTGAGGGAGGACTAGCCATGCCAGACACGGGGGGACGGTGGGTCTGTGCACCATCTGTCCCGTGGTGTTGCCATGGAAACATTCAAGCTCCCAGTGGCAGGACCACTGTGAGTCCTTACATGAAGCTTAGGCCCTGCACTCTTCATAGCAAATAAGAGCTTCCCTCTTACGGATATAAAGTGAGACTTTCTGAACATGTGCACAGGAACGCGTTACTAACACTGAGGTTGTGTGCCTGAACAAAGTGCTCTTGAAGAGAGGGGACCCTTAGAGGTGAAAGACATGGAAACGCTCCTTCTGTGGATCAGAAATCTGAGGCCAGAGAGCAGGGCCTGCCCAAGGTCATGTCCAAGATCACTCGCTGGGGGAGGTGGTACAGCCCTGGGTCTCATGCTCTCAGCCCTCCCTTCCGTCCCCTGCTCCTCACTCCTCCACTTTGTGGGTGGGAAATAGTCACCAACACTATGGTTACGTATAGGACACCTTAAGTGGAAAAACCAAAAGACAAACACTGCCAAGTCTGCACCCAGGGGCAGAGTGGCCTCCGGCACAAAGTTAGCTCGGCTTTTCGGGAATACAAAGTCCCTCTCCTTTACCAAGCAAGGCGTGAAAGGGAGAGGCCTCCGAGAAACGGGTAACACCATGGATGCCAAGGTGGGTGTGCTCCCCGCCCTTACCTCTAACTTCTCAGAAACGTATTCACACTCTGACATGAGCTGAGGTATGATTTCACTTTGTTTTCGGAGGTCTTTCAACTCCTTCAGGAGACAGAAATTTGAAAAAGAATGTGAAAGCAAGTCAGATACAACGTACTCTTAAAGATCTCCAAGTCCTGCATACAGTGATGGAAGCAGCTATTGGAATCTGTGTTGTCTGCATAAATAATAATGGTGATGACGCTAGTACTTAACACACATCAGGTAATTCTAAAGGCTGAGTGTGTTATGTGCACTAATGCCCAAAGTCCATACACCACCATGAGAAGTAGGTATTCTTATGACTCCTGTTTTGTAGATGGGGAACGGAGGCTGAGAGAGGGCTGGTAACTTGCCCATGGTCTCTAGCCTCCGTGTACTTAGCTGTCCTGTTCCCCAGAAAGTAAATGACCGTATAACTGGAGGGGGCAGGGGCGTCTTGCTGCATTAACTTGACAGCAGAATGCACCTTCTGATGAGAGATCATCTATGAAAGTTTCCGGGTGTTTTGTTAATGTTCAACTCCCTCTAGGATGTGAGTGATTGACTATACAGTAAGTACAACGGGGAGACTGCAGAGGGCAATGGCCTGTCCTTTGCTCTGGACTATCTGTACCTGGGAGTGACTCTTGGCTCTGTCTTTGTGCTTATGTCCAGGCAGCTTCCAGGGCCGGTCACATGCCCCATAGCCTCCTGCTGTGTCCTAGGGTGGAGATCACCCTCCGAGGCCCAGGACACGTGAGCAGCACCGCTCAGAGCCCTGTGACTCACCGTCTCCTTTTCCCGGAGTTCTGACTCCAGCTCCTCAATTCTTCTCTTCAGCTGAGTGTTCTTCTCCTTCTCTCTGTTTATCTCACTGCACTGCTCTTCCAGCTCGTCAATCTTTTAACAAATATCACATGTTAACGCACGGATGCCAGTCTAGTCACCAAACAAAAGATCACCACAGCTCTGTTGATGCCTTCTTTCAAAATAAACCATAAACCAACCCACTTGTAAATTTTTCCTTGTGGCCACGAACAAACTCCATGGGGCTCCCCCCGGGCTGTCTTCCCCAGCTGGCACGGGGTGCCCTACTTGATACCAACAGGGTCAGATACATCACAAAACCAGGTTTCAGGATGCTCTGGGCTTCTGGTTTTCTTGCACGGCCACAGGACAGTAGCTTTAGGTTTCCTTTAAGGATCCGTCACAAGTCAGGGCCAGATGTCCCATGAATCTATCTGCTTCTTCCCAGGGTGATTTTTCACAGCATTTTAATCATGCCCCGAATGACTCTGTTGCATCTCGAGGGTTTAAGCCAGCAGGGTAGGGAACTGAGCAACCCTGTGGAACAGTGGCCACCAAATGAGGTGTGATGACATTTCAAATGTTTTAAATCAAGATGACCTTTCTCCACTGATGCATGCAGAGGAGGCCTGGCCTGGGGTACTCTTCCTGGAGAGATGACAAGTGCAGGCTGACTTGGCAAATCCCCAGAGTGCATCTTTCTCTCCTTCCCAAGCCTGACCCCCCCCCCCCCACCAAGAAAGGGCGCAAAGGCCTGAAAACCTTGGCAATGCTGTCTGACTTGTGGGTGCAGAGCGGATGGTAGGAGCGGAACAAGAAACACGAGAGCACCAGTGTGCAGGTCCCCACAAGCGGGCAGCAGCAGTCCTCAGGGTGAGGGGTGCTGGGTGGTCGCCATGAGGACAATTCTCAGAGGTGACCTGCACCAACCCTCAGCCACAGGAGCTGCTGGAGATCCCACCACCTCCTACCTCCCGCCCTGGAAATCAAGTTCCCAGTGCTTCCTGTCCAAAGAGCCTGCCACTTCTCTCAGGGAGCAAGTTCTAGGAGATGCACTTCCTTGGCTCCCCTCAACTGCTCTTTGGTTCTTATATTCAAGACACAAAGTGAGAAACTCAGCTCTCTGGTTGGAGAAAGAAAGGGCGATCGATCCCCCTGGCAGGCAGGTCAGCCAGGTACTGGATGGAAAATGTGGAGTCAGCACTTTCTGAAAAAATGACACGAGACAGTTTTATGTGCCACCCACGTGGAAGTAAGACATGAAGCAGGGGAGTGGTTTCCAGTGGCTCCACCCAGGACAGGTGGGCAGGTTATAGCCGGGAGGCAAGGTGAGCGAGCACCAATCTCAACGTGACACATTCCCTAAAATCCTGCACTTACAAAGTAGACTGTGCTCACCGACTGTGGGATAAATGTGCTGACCATCGAAACAGCACAGCAACTCCAGGACCTCAACTGGGGATACTCTGGCCACCCCAAAGCTACCTCATCAACTCAGCCCAAATCCAGAGGGTGAGTGACTAATGACAGGGAAGGGTGCAGGCGAATGCTGAAAAAACTGGAATGCTTGGGCATCAAGGTCCCAGGGTAGAGGGCAAGACAGTGGTCAGCATCCACCCACCTCCCATGTGAAGGTCCGTATTCCTTTCCTCACTTTCAAACTCACAGTTTTTGTTTTTTTTTAAGAAAGAACAATTTGCACGGAAGCAGGGTTTCTGAGCTCCCATTTCCTGAATCTGTTTTCCCCACTCCCCCTCTGGGTCCTTTTTCTCCACCAAAGATCACTGAACCACAGAAAATGCCAAGGGAGGCCGCCCACAAAAGGCCAGCCCACAGCGAGTATCAGAGGGTGCTCCTGGCGAGAGACAAATCTGGAACCTCCCATTGATTTGTCTTCTCCGCAATAGGAATTATAAACCTTGGTTCAATAAAAGTCATAAATCAGCTCTTTACATGGCTCTATTCCCACCAAGGAAGGCGGGGAGATGGAGGGAGCGCCCAGGGAGAGGCAGCGAGTCTCCCTCCTGCCCGTAGGATGAGGGCCACGTGGGAGGCGGGGGTGGGAATGGAGAGGAAGTGGCGGCCAGGGTCTTCCCTCCTGTGGCTGCTGTCCCCTTGACACCCCTGCCTGTGCTCACCTTGTTTCGGAGCCGGTCGTTCTCATCCCGGCAGATGGAGAATTGCCTCTTCCACTGCTCCACGCTGGCCGCTGACTCCTGCAGAGCCGCGGTCAGCCGGGCGTTGCTCTCCCGCAGGGTCTGCAGCTCGATCTCCCATTTCTTCACGTTGGCAGCACTGCGGGGCAGGGGACAGTGGCGGCCGGGATGGTGGACACTGTCCACCCCGCTGCCCAGGGGAGGGGGACCCAGCCACCCCCTCAGTACGTCCCTGGTGGCTGCACCCTCTCCCACCGGCGAAATGGCAGTGAGGACCATGTGCCAAGAGGGCCTGGCGCCTCTCCTGAGTGGGAACATGTTGCCTTGCTGGGCTATTTTCTCAAGGCATCGCTTTAGAAGGGAACAGAATTCTTAGAGAAGGAAGAGATGGAAGGAACTAAGAAGGAAGCCACAGACTGTGGTGGAGACCTCCCTTCCTGCTTCCTACTGACCCCTGGCTGTGGGCGGTTCTCCCATGTCCCATGTCGTGTTCCTTGCTGAAAGGAGCCTTGGGGATGGAGGTTCCAAGGTGCTGGGGTGGACCACGGGCCCACTGAGATTCTCACAGAAGCCACAAATCTTTCAAAGCCCCCAGCACCTCCCCCTGGAGCCCAATGACCCAGGTTTAAGCAAGCAGACGGCCTGGCTCCAGGTGATAACCGCCCCACTGTGACTTGCGCCTCCCCAGCCTTTCAGGGAAGCCAGATTTGAGAGCCAGGGATGCAAGGACACGGGAGATGGTGGCTGGGAATCCTGAACTGGGTTTCTGACCACAGTGTGATGACGGAGCCCCGGCTGGCCCCATGTCACCTCAGGGGTGCGCCACCACCGCAGGTCTGAGGGACGCCTCCACGTCACCACAAAACCCCGTGATAATCTTTGATCCTCTGTGATCAAAGCTAAGTTTCAAAAAACAAACTAGAATCATCAGGTTCCCCTCAGTTGCTGTTCCGTTTCAACATTCCTTCTGTTTCCTTGCTTTGGCCCACATATCTGTGGTGCTGAGACCTGAGGTGACAGGGCAGAGCTGCAGGTGACAAGCCCATCACAAAGTTTCTGGCTCCTAATCAATGCTGCCTGGCTCAGGAGAGCTCGCTAAGGACTTCTTCTTCTTTTTAAAAATCTTTAAAGTAAATACAACTGCACATGAATAATCTGTTATCTTTCATACACCTCAAGGTCCTAGGAATGTGACTGGAAAATACTTTTGGTTTCAAACACCACAGACTGAAAACATGGTAAAATATTATTATCTGGTTAATCTCATGAAATTAATTTTCATTAATTTGATGACTGGGAAGTTGAGCTGGTTTAGGGAAATGGCTTCACACCCACTCCTGTTAATTCACTTGTCTATTAAACTAGGATTTTAAAACATTTATTTTTAGGGGTGAAAGGTTTTCATCCAGGCAACCCACTGGGACTTAAACAACCTAAAATAGTCCTCACAATCGCCTGATGAGTAAGAAAAGAGACTGGTCACAGTTTTGTCCTTTGAAGCACCTGACAAAACCCACAGACCAAAGAAGGTGGATGGATCTAAGGGTCCCGTGTTCTTTCTGGAATTCCTAGTTCAGATCACAGGAGTTAAGCTCCAAGCACTGATCAGACTTGCTGGGTTGCCGAGGTGGGTGCCAACCGTTCAGTGTCTCCAGCTGTGCAGTGTGACTGGCTGCCTCTGGGAAGGTTCCTAAAGAGACTGCAACTGCAGCCTTGAGTAAAGGCAGGCAGTGTGGGGTGGTGGAAAATTTACCTGCTGTGTGACCTTGGGCAGGGCCTCACTTTACCACCTGGGACTCGGTTTCCTTATCTGTAAAATGGGGGAATTAATATGACAGAGCTCTTAAATGGGGCCACTCTGAGGAAAGCAGCTTCTCAGCCACAGAGAGACTAGGGGAAGCCGGCCATGTCCCCTGCCAGGTGAGCAGAATTTCCCCAAAGGACAGCAGCTCTGAGGGCGCCATGAGGTCCAGTCCAATCTTTGGGAGATGGGCCACATTCTCAAGATCCAAAAACCAAGCACAGCCTGGATAGTCATTAAAAATTAAAATCTTGTTGATGTCATTATGGCGACTGTGTTACATTTATAGACCAATTCAAGGGAAGTTGATACTTTTTAAAATATCGAGGCTCCCTATCACATCCCAATAAACTTTTTTGTTAAATTATTCATTTATGGCCCTCAAAAATCATTTGAGCTTTCTTTATACACTTCTTATTTATTCCTATGTATTTTATGGTTCTAGTTCATACCGTAAAGGAAATCTCTCCTTTAAATATGTATTCTATGTGATATCTGTTTGTACATAGAAAAGCTATTGATTTTTGTGAGATTTTTATATTATTTTTAATAGTTTCTTAGGTGTTTATATGTTTTTCTTGGATATTCAAGACTCAATCTTGTATACGAATAAATGATAAATTTGGCTTCTCAGAAAACAAAACACAAGCACAGGGACATACCTCTCTTTCACACACACACACACACACACATACACACACTCACAAACACTGATGCTGATGTGGACAGAGCTCAGACATGAAGGCAGCGCGTCTTCCTTTGGCCAGGAGACAAGACTGGGTGCTCCAAGCAGGACCCAGTCTCCTCTCTCAGTTTCCTGAAACCTTGCCCAGCAGGCAAGGCTGCAGGGAAGCACTGAACCTGACGGCAGCATTGGGATTCTAACACCCTCACCTCTGTGTCAGAGCGATCTTCAGCTTGTCATTCTCGGACTTGAGGTGTGTGTCAGCAGGACCCGCACAGGAAGCCTTTTCATCATCCGTCCCATTGACACTGGACGCCTGAGTAGAAGATGGGGTTTCACACCCAGATTCCTGGCCAAAGTGATTACCTTCACACGTTGTTGCTTGTCGCCACAGCAAATCAGGCATAATGAAGAACTGTGTGTTTACGAGTGTGGGAGGACCAGCGCATCCAACCAGAACACAGCAAAGACTAGCAAGTCCAGAGACCAATAACCGTATCTCTGAAGAGTCCACGAGGAGTTCAGAAAGTCTGAGCATTTTACTCACAAGGCAGCACCTGGGCTGTTAATCAGAGCTTTTTCACTCAAACTTTACAGATAAACCAAATATACGAGGATCCTTGGTCCCCTTAAACAACACAGGACAGAAGCCACAGGTTAAAAGGGGAGGAGGGCTGTATAGTAAGAAACAGTGAATGAGGACAGAGAAAACGTATAAGAAGCTGAGACAACTTAAAATTCCTGGGGCCACAGAGAGATCAACACGATCATCAAAAAGATAAAAGGAATCAGATACGGATGTCTGCTGTCTCCATTACCATTAGAATTGTTATGAATACTCTGAAACGTCTTCTGTAATTTCACATGGAGGTGAAATCTCATCTGGGCTTAAATCTTAGAAAGATCTTACTTAGCCTCCAATAAGCAGAAAGGCAAGGAAAGGAATCATGAAGTGAATGATGTATGACTAAATTTCGACATTGCAAAAAAAAAATGCCATAAACTATATTAGAGTGTAAACAACAACATGGAGAAAATATTTGCAGCAGGTACTAAAAATAAAATGCTAATACCTTTCCTATATTAAAAAAAAAACTCTTACAGTCACCATGTTTTAGAACTACACATTGAAATATTTATGGATGAAATGATAAGATATCTAGGATTTGCTTTAAAATAAAGGGGAGGGACAGGGGGACAGAGATAAACAATTGGTCACAAATTCCTACTTGTTAAAGCTTACCTATGGGTCCACGGGGATTCATTTATACAATTCTGCTGAGTTTTGTATATGTTCAAAACTATCCTCATTAAAAAATAAAGTTCTTGGAAATCAACACCAAAAAGGGGAAAGAATATGCAATTGACATTTACAGAAGAAGAAATGCATAAAATCCGTAAACAAGAAAATTTAATCTCACTGGTAAAAGAAATACAATATGAAAAAAGCCAATAAAATACATTTTTCTTCTGTCAAATTCAACAAAGCTTTGTTGGCAATGGTGTGGGAGGAAAAATCGCTCTCATTTCACTGCTGGTGGGAGCCGGAATTGTACATTTCTGTACGGATGTTTGCAGTATGCATCAAAAGCTTTTAAAACGTCCCTACCTTTAACCCAATAGTTCCATTTCAAGAATTTATCCTGCAGAAACCATCACATTTGCACAAAAGGTGTGCAAAAATGTTTATCACAGTGTTATCTGTATTAATGAAAAATTAGGACCAACGCAGATGTCCCAAATTATAGGAGTTTAATGGAATAAGTTGTGATACAAACACTGGAACACTATCTAGCCATTAAGATAGTTTTGAAAAAAGATATTTGAAAACACGAGGAAATAATCACAACACATATAAGCTTAAAAAAAAAAGTTAAAAAGAATAACATAAAAAATATACTGGAAAACTACATTTATAAGGAAGAAACATACCAAAATATTAACAAAATATCTTTGGTAAGAAAATAGGTAATTCTTATTCCCTCCTTTATAGATGGCATATTTTTTATTTCTGCAATAAATATGTATTGCTTTTATAGTTGGAAAAAACCCACATTAAATGTTTTTGTAATCAGATTGTTTAAAATCTTTAAGTATTTGGAAAGCTTGGTCAAAGTATTCATTCTCTAAGAGATTCAAAAAGCCAAGCAATTGGTTTCTAATAAATACGATTTCTAATAAAAGAAAAAAATGTACAATGATCTCTATATTTGGGGAAACATCAGGGAGGATAAATAAGAACTAAAAGCTGAGAGACAAAAAGCCAGTCATATATAATTAATATACATATATGTAAAATATCAACTTCTGGGTATACACGATTTTTTAAGGTTTAAAATACTTTTGGGGAGGAAATAAATATTAAAACAAAAACCTTAAATAAAGAAATTGAGATATTAAAGATATCACTATAATATGTGGTATTCAGAAAAAGATGGTATACTAGAAATTCCATAGACCATGGACCATTTCAAGTGCCCAATTTTATAGACCCTCAGGGATTACTCAGTACAATAATTAGTGTACTAAATTAACAGTATCATTTAGATGATATTAAAGATTATTTATAAAGATTCAGGAAAGTTCCTGTCCACCTGAAGTCTAATAAAATTCATTTCCACAAATCCATAGGGACATCTTTCATATGATTCAGCTTCAGCTACTGCTGACCGTCAAGTCTAGCGTGTTGACCTTGACCACTCAGGATACTCATGCCTCCTGGGTCTCTTCCCACCCAGCTGCCCAACATCCATCCCTTCCTGGCCTCCCATTCTCCACCCAAAGCCTCCTCGTTCATCTTCCGGATCTCAGCTGCTCCCTGACTTTCTCACCACCTTCACGCAACCCTCATACCAAGTCCTCATCAGTATCCATAAAATGTCTCCAATGTCTTCCAAATATCCCATAATAAATAATTAACTAAAACACTAACAAATAATAAATGATCCACCAATGAAGAATTCCAGGCCTTTCACAGTACCTCCAAGGACATCTCTGCTCCTCCCATAGCACACTTCATGCCCAGCCAGGAAGATTCCCACTGTCCTGCTATCACGTCATGTTTATTCCTGACCCCAGATCCCTGCTCGTCATGTCTCCCTCTTCCTGTCTCTCTACATATAACTCTGTCATTAGGTCAAGGCTTCTGCCTACCACTGCATGCACCAATCAAGACATCAGGAACACAGGTATTTTTATTTCAGTTTAAAATAAGTCCCTCCTAGTCAATTATCACACTTTTAAGTAGTCGGATTACTCAGTTCCTGGCAAAGCCACGTTTCCTTTGGCTAAATCACAGCTGTTGGAATACCACCTCCCACCTGATTTTTGTTAAAATAAGGAGACAGATGAGGACTCTCTGGCATTGATCAAGTTTTCTCTGTCATGGGCAAGGGTACCTGCATTTGTCCACAAGCATCCTTCATGCAGACCTCACCATTCAGTACAGGAAGAAAACATACTGCCTTGGCATTTGTATTTAAACAGTGACCAGAGAACGTCTCAGACCAGGGACATGTATTAACTCTAATCTCATCAAATGTTTTCCACCCAAAATACATCACCACATCCTGAAAAATTCAAGAGTCTCATTAAAAACATGTCATGTTCATCTCACTGTGAGCAGGCTAATAGCTTAAAAAGCCTACAAAATGCCCTACTGCAAAAATTTCCTGTTTCTTGTCAAAAGTGACAAGGAACAAAGAGACTCAATTGCTGATCACACTCATTTTTTTTATGGACAAATGACTTACTTGGGAATGATTACTCGAGGTCTCGATTTTCTCCTGGGACTTGTCTCTGGCTAATCTGGCAGCTTCTTTTACCTCCTGGAATTTCTCTGCAAACTGAACATGAAGAAGATTTATCAAGATTTTCCTTAACCTCATACACAGCTGATATGCAGAACCCATCTTTATTACTTTGCATGCATTTTAAGCCAATAAGTTCTGTATAAATTCAGAGGAAGAATTTTGAGATTAAAAGGAAATGAACATAAGGAATGCTTTTTCAAAAAAAAAAATCCTATTGGCCAAGGTCAGATCTGAGTGAATTTCTAAGCTACTGAAGCTATTTTAATGACAAAATGTTAAAAACACACGCCTCTGGTAAACAGGACCTAATACAAATGCAACACAAGGAATTTAGCTGTAGCACACAAGGAATCCACAAAAAACTTCATAATCCCTATCAAAAGATCCAAGAATGCTTACAAGTCAGTGTCATGAAATACAACAACATCCAACAAGCTGGGGAGAAAAAACTGTCCTAGATTTTAAAAGACTGAGACATAAAATAGCAAAATGTAATGTGTAGCCTAGGACTGAATCCTGTTTTGAAAAGACCAACTATGAAAGACCTCAGAGCAACAACGAGGGACATGTGAACATGGACTGGGTAAAATGACATCAAGGACTTACTATTAATTTTGTTAGAAGTGCTGACAATATTGTGGTTATACTGGAAAGTGTCAGTATTTGGACATAAATGCCAAAGTATTTAGACGTGAAATGTTTTGATGTTCACAATTTACTTTAAGGCACTTCAACAATAATAAAACAGATGAATAAATGCCGCAAAGTGTTCGCTGTTAAATCTACGTGATGTGTGCATGGGTATTTGTTATACTGTGCTCTCTCTGCTTTAAAAAAATGTTTTAATATTTTCTTAATTAAAAAGTTCTTAAAATCCCAGGGTAATCATATCAATCACTTGCCTTATAGTCACTGACAAGGCAGCTGATTTTAATTAGCAAATACATCGTTTGAACAGAGAACATTCTGTGGTAGCTGACATCACACGGCAAGAGAGAGCCAAACATGGTTGCTGAGAAACAAGGAAAGCTAGCAAGTGGCAAGGCTACTGAAAATTCTGTGGCTTTTGCTGAGAAGTCAATTTCTGAGCCTAGACCACCCTTTGAGAGGTTCACAAAGCCAACAGGAGTCATCTGCTTTGGGACACCCTGCAGGGTGACAGCTGCTGGTGAACCAAGCACTCCAGCAGAAGCAGAAAAGGTCAGCCTTGCAGTGCTCTGGCTGGTGTTGCTCCTGCAGGCCTGTAAATAAAGCCACAGCTACAGGGTTTCGTTTAACCAACCCAGAGCTGTCAGAGAAAAATCACATTAACTGTTGTCTAAAAGGTGTGAGGTCCAGCAGGGATGGACAGAGCATCCCCTTTCCTTTGCAGGGGCCCCGTGAATAAAAACAAGATGTCATGAACTCCTTGATGGCAGGGTCCGTGCTCTTCCTCTCTGTACCCTCTTCCTGACACCCAGCAGAAAGCAGGCACAAATAAGTTTGTCCCATGAATGAATGAGCTCTGGGTACCAGATTTGCACACCTCCACCCATTTGGAAAAAAAAAATCACGTCAAAGTACAGGCCAAACTTAAGTACCTAGGAAGGACTGGTGGTAAGTACCTGGGAACATTCTGCCCCATCATTCTGCTTCCTAAGCACCCCTGATTGGATAAACTTAGGAGCGAGGCAGAGCATCACTTGAAATATGAACACTACCCCAGAAGAGACTCTATGCAGGCACCATAAAGGCCTATTGACCTTATTAAGACATTTGCTGTACACCTGAAACGAACACAACGCTGTAAATCAACTATACTTCAATAAAAAAACAAACAAAACAAGACATTAAAACATGCAGCTCTTAAAAGGTATTCTCTTAAACAGCTTTGTGTCCGGTATCGATTAAAAGTCAAATCTCATTTGAAGAAAACAATAGTACATGAGGTTTTCAACAGAAACCTCTGCTAACGAAGTCTGCCGCTGCTGTGCTCAGGAAGGGGCCAGCTCTTTCCCCACAGGCGTCCCAATCTTTACCAGGCTCCCAAACCAAACGCACTGTTTTTTACAGATCCTTCTTGCCCCTGTCGGGGTTTCTTTCTCCCATGGGTCTTACTCAAAGTTGCTTAGAAACTAGATTGGAAGCATCAGGGGCCAGGGTCATGCTTACTCAGTCAACAAACATGGTCTGAGCACCACTCACTCCTTCAACGAACAAGCATTTTTTTCACCGCGAACAGGGCCGTGCACCAAGCCAGGGGCTGGGGCATGTACACTGTGCAAGTATCAGACAGAGGCCCAGAGCTGGGTAGCAGGAGACAGGGGCCAACATGTCACTAAGCAGAGCCCTGCCAGGCTTCGACAGAACAAGTCACTCCTGGACAGAGCTTGGGGCCTCCATTCTGTCTTTCTCCTCCTACCTGACCCTGAATGTCCCCAAATGGGGAAAACCTTAGCTCAACTCTTGGAGACTCTTAGCCCAGAGCACAAACCTTCCGTTCCAACAGGCCCTTCTCTCTTTGTCCCCTGACACCCCTCATGGAGGCCCCTCGAGGCATCCGCCAGGTTTGCCTTGAGTGCAGGTAAACTTACCACCCTCTTCCCCTAGACCTTCAGCACAGCCACATCTACATGTTACGGAGTGTGATGGCTTCTTAATACACATTCTCTCATTTCCTCTTCACCACTCTCTGCAAGACAGGAACTCTTATTTATAGTTTCCAGGTAAGAAAATGGAGTCTTAGGTTAAAATTTGCCCACAGTCACATGATTAGTAAATCGTAAACTGGAACTTGGGCCAAGTTCTGATTTCCACATGATCATCTACCCAACCAACTACTTTTTTTTAAATTTTATTATTTTTTAACGTTTATTTTATTTTTGGAGGGGGTAGGTAATTAGGCTTACTTATTTAATTACTAATTTTTTAATGGAGAGATGGGGATTAAACCCAGGACCTCATGCATGCTAAGCATGCGCTCTACCACTTGAGCTATACCCTCCTCCCCATCCAATTACTTTCTTATGCCAACAGGAATGCCAAGGGTCTTGCCCATAGCAGTTGCTAAATATTTACTGACTGGATTTTCCATTTGCAAAGAGAAGTCCTTACCTTAAAATGTAAAATAGAACTGTGCTCACTTCCTCTTTAAAAGAAAATTATTTACAAAAGTTCTAACTTCAAAACAGGCCATAGGAACCTTTAAGGCAAAGATAAGGCCTGAGGAACAGAATATCAGATGTGGAGAGAGGGGTCTGGGTGACAGGCTCTGATTTTACAGCTCTCCTCAGCTTCGTCATTTAACTGTCCTCCTTCTCAGTTACAAAAGAGAGACAATGCACAGCTGTCACACACATGTCAAGACTCACATCCTTCCAGGACTTCAAGGTGACAGTGCTATTACACAGGCATACCTCATTTTATCACGTTTCACAGATGCTGTGTTTTTGACAAATTGGAGGCTGGCTGCATCCCTGTGTTGAGCAAGTCTATTGGCGCCACTTTTCCAAAAGCATTTGCTCACTTCGTGTCTCTGTGTCACATTTTGGTAATTCTCACCATATTTCAAACTTTTCCATTGTTATTATATTTGATATGGCGATCAGTGGTCTTTGATGCCACTTCTACAACTCGCTGAAGGCTCAGATGATGGTGAGCAATTCTTAACCATAAAGTATTTTTTAATTAAGGTATATACATTGCTTTTTCTAGATATAATGCTACTATTGCACACTTAGTAGACTACAGTAGAGGGTAAACAGAACTTTTATGTTCACCAGGAAGCCAAAAAATTTGTGTGACTTGCTTTATTACAATATGTGCTTTATTGTGGTGATCTGGAACCAAATCCATAATATCTCCAAGGTATGCATGTGAACAATCACAGCTTTGAACATCTCAAAAAAGGGGAAAAAAGACATGTATTCTTGACTTCTAGGGATGAGGTAAGACAAGTGGTTAGAAAGTACAGAGTCTCGCTATTCACTCACAGCTACCCTAGGTGCTGTTACTACTGTCAGGACACAAATATGGGGCACAGATGGATTTTGTAACTGGCCAAGGTCACACTGGGACCTAACACAGGCCATCTGACGCCAGTGCTGGACACTACCATGCCCTACAATTTACCTGCTTAACTGCTGCCTTAGCTAAGGTGCCCAACTCTGATAAGGATCAGCCTTTCAAATGAAGACAAATGAATTGCTCTGAACCTTGGTTTCTTCAGCTATAAAATGTGGGTAATAATACAACCTCCAAGAATCACTGGAGGATGAGAGATGGGGCTTTGCTGGGTGTACAACAGGGATTCAACCAAGAGCTGGATTTGGCTTGTTTCTCAAGTAAGATGACAGCGAAGTCTTAAAACCATGGATTTTAGTAAAAGAGCGCCACAAAAGGGTGAATTCACTCTTCAAAAAAAAAAAAATGAACTAGTTACCTCTATGTGCTAGGGATTGTGCTGGGTACACTGAAATACCAAAGAAAGACTTGGTTCCTGTCCTCAGAGGAATTCTGAGTCTGTAGAGGATTTTGTTTTACATTCAAGTGGATGAAAATCAAAAAAAATTTTTTCCAAAAATAAGCCTAAAATGTAATGAAGTAGGGAGGGCATAGCTGAGTGGTACAGTGCATGCATAGCATGCATGAATTCCTGGGTTCAATCCCCAATACCTCTATTAAAAAACAAATTAATAGAAATAAATAAACCTAATTACCTCCCCCCCAAAAACAATAAATACATTAAAAAATATTTTAATGTAATGAAATAGGATAAGCCCTGTCAGATAAATTTTAAGTAAATAAATAATTATTTAAAAAGAGGTAGTATTCACACTACTATATGCAAAATAGATAAACAATAAGGACCTACTGTATAGTCCAGGGAACTATATTCAATATCTTGAAATAACCTATAACAGAAAAGAAACTGAAAAAGAATATATATATAATATATATAAAACTGAATCCCTATGCTATATACCTGAAACACTGTAAATCAACTATACTTCAATTTTTGAAAATAAATTTTAAAGAAGTAGTATCAGTTAGTGCATGATGGAAACAGGCCCTATCATATACATACAAATTCGCTATGACACAGGAGGAATCATAAATTAATAGCGAAGATTATTCAAAATATAATGATTGAGATAATTTTAGTAAACTGAGGGGAAATGAATTTAAATCCTTACCACAAACCAGTCGCATGATAAATACTGATGAGTTAAAGGGGTAAGTATTTTTTTCTAATCTGTATGCAAAAAGAATTGAACATTCATCAGTTCTGCTTGAGGGGTGAGAGGGTAATTTTCTAAACTTGGAAGAAATAAAAGAAAATCACATAAGTGACAGATTTGACTGCCTAACAATTTAAAGCTTTTGAATATAAAAAGAAAAAAAAACTAAATCAGAAGGGAAACAACAGCCTAGGGGAAATATCTATAGCTAGGCTAGTACAACAGAAAAGGGCCATTATCTTCAGTATAGAAAGAGTTTGTACAAACTAAAAAGGAACATATGAAAACCCCAATAGACACATGGCAAAATTCACGAATAAAAAATACAATAAGCAACTTATAGAAAAGACCGTTCAGGCTTGCTGGAAATGCAGATCAAAGTAATGAGGTACCATTCTTTGCCTGCTGAATTAGCAAATGCTAAATACAATTATAATCCCCCCGGTGCTGGCAAGGTATTCCTGGTAGCCTTGGGTATTGGTACAGCCCCACTGAGAAGCAATTTGGAACTACGTATCACGAGTGAAAAAAAATGTTCATACCCACTGACCTAGTGATATCACTTGTGGGAAAGCATTCTACAAAAATAATTTAGAATATGGGGGGGGAGGCTTTCCATATAAAGACATTAATCATAGCATAAGCCACAATAATGAGAAACTGGAAGCAACCCAGGGATCCCTGGGAGAAGGATGGGAGAACTTTTCCCCCTACAGCCTCCACCTGTTTGGAGAAAAGCACTGAGGTGCCAGATGACTGTCCTTTGGTGAAAAGTCCCCTCTCTCCAAGTCTTAAGCTTTCTAATATTTCCCCCCTTATCATAAAAAAGCACATATGCTTGTATATTTAGTAAGTATTGTTTAGGAAAAACATTTTTTTAAACCTATGGTTCCATCATCCAGAGACAGATAAGCACTAACCACATAACTTTTGATTTTTTTTCTATCTGCATATATGCATTCACTATATGTTTCTTTTTAAAAATAGAATGATATTGTACATCTCTTTTTATAGCTACTTTTGGTATTAACAATATGACAATACTTCCAAGCAATTATATGATCTTCTATTACATCATCTGAATTGCTGCATAATATTACACTGAAGGATACACTGTAGTTTATTTAACTAATTTCTTACTGCTAGACATTTAGGCTGGTGTCTTTGTGTTTTTGTTTATGCTGTCATAAATGATGTGGCAAGGAAAGTTCTTGTAGCTAATTCTCTGTACTCAGTTGTAATTATTTCCTCAGAATAGATTCCTATAAATAAAACCCACAGATCAAAGGATATTCAAACCACAAAGATTTCCAAATATATGCCAAATTCTCATGTCTTTACTTATTAGGATCATTTTCTGCAGTTTTAACCGTGTGGTAACAATTTTAATCAAAATCAAAATCATCCGCATCTTCATCATATCATGATAGAAAGTGAATGACTATTGTTTTATTTTATTTATGGCTTTTTTGGGCCTTGGCTACTGAAGACCCTGTGACAGATACTACCTATCTGCTTATCTAAAATCCATTTCTTCTTTCCCTTGGCTTAAGAAAATCTTAAATCTGCCTAGAGCAGGAAATTCCCTAGAGGGTAGAGAATGAGAACTGATCTAACCTGATCATGGCAGCCCACTTCCTTGCCCTTTATTTCTCGGAGGGTGGGTGTGGGAGGGTGGCCTAGGGACCCAAGATTGACAATGGAATCCAAAAAGAAGTCTGCCAAGTGAATTTATAAGGAAGCTATATCAAAGGTATTACTCTTCTGCCTCCTCCCTCTTGCCATGAATGCAGATGTGATGGATAGAGCTTGAGACGCCATCTTATCACCATGAGGAAAAAGACAATCAAAGAAACATACAAAACATGCAGAGTCCTACACCCAATATCATGAAGCCACTGTACCAATGCTGGCAATAGCCAGCCACAGGACTTCTTTTTTGTACAAAAAGTATAAGTACTATGATTAGTTGTTACCTGAGGCCAAAGGCATTTTAACTAAAACACATCAAAAGAATGATTAATATTTCCCATTAAAAAAAATGGCCTTTAAATCAGAAAGGTAGGACACAGGGCAATGTTCTTACAACTACAGTGAGTTAATGAAGTGAACGTAAGGATTCAACTTTGCACTAGAGACGAAATAACTGAAATGGGTCGAAACCAAATGCCACATACGGGGCAGGGCCTAAATGATCCCATCCCGGCTCACTCCCCTTCATGGCAGAATGTATTTCCTTCTGTCTGCGATGAAAGAGATGGAGCCAAACTTCTCAAGGTCAGATGCCAGAAACCATCTAAACTTCAACAACTGGTTCATTCTTACACTTCGTTCTCCTTTCTTTTGTCTCTTTTCCGAAGTTCCTCCTTTTGTCAGAAAATGCAAGTCCCCTTTCAACACTCTTCAGTGGGCTGAGGTATTATGTCCTCTCGGATGGGTAGACAGAGCCCCAGCTTACCTCTGGGAATACACAGCTTCTGTTGTTTTTGGAAAGCCTATGTAACGAGCAGAAAGCGTCCCTGTAACACTTTCTGGATTTCTAGTGTGAAGTGGTCCTTACAATGGAAGCAGCAAAGACCAAGGTATCTATTTTCCTTCTAGGGGGTGGAAAGAGAAGTGTGTATAAAGTGTTCTTATATGAAAATATCTACACTGGTGTTCCTTTTTCTAGCCAACTCATAGTGTTTGATTACCAATTCCCTTTTCAGGTCTGTGGCTGGCTGCTCTGTGAACTCAGGAATATTTAGCCACAGCTGTCCCTTCAGCAACACGCCCTGGGAACCCGTTAGGCGCAAGTTCCTCTTTGCTAGCTAATTGCCACTTGTCGAGACTGCCAGCCTCACTTCAGGGTAATTTGTCCGTGTGTGGTTAATCGTTCTCTTCAAAGAGAAGGGGAGACGTTCATTTGAAACATTCTGAACAAAGGAGACATCTGAGGGCTTATTTGATAAGTCTCTGTGACAATGGCAGGTCACAGTCACAGAGCAGGACTCCAGTGCCCCAGGAGGGGACCGAGTGGCTCAGAAGACAGGGCACTCTTCCTTAATGATAGGACATTTTCCTCCATTCAGGAAAAATTAGAAGTGGCCATGCTTGGAAGCAGGTGCAGCTCAAGGTCTCCCCAGTTCTTGGAGGCACAAAGAATGGAACTTTAATAACTTGTTCCCATTTTTGCTTTGAGTTCTCCCTTCTTTCAATACTTTACATTGAAATGTTCCCCTTTCTCCTTTCTAGCCTCCTTGAGTCCTCCAAAGATTGAAGACATTGTTCCAGGAAGCTGAGAATGATCACCTCAAACCATCCTGGGCCCTGGGTGGGATCAGGAGCAGATGAACTGAGGCGGACCCCGCCAGGACCCCATTTCTGACAGAAGCCCCCCAATCCTGCCCTTCCCCAGCAGTCTGAGGCTTCCAGGCTTTTGGTCTGGATATGAGACACTCAGCAGAGGAGGCACTGCTCCCCGCACCCCTCTCCTCCCCACCAGGCACTCCATCAGAGGGAAGAAGTATGTGGTCCCCACCAGCCACTTCAGACAGAGGTTCCAGTTAATTATTCTTTCCACAAACCATCATCACGCTTCTTTGTCTCCCACACCCGCTCCCCAAGTTCTGCCAATTTAGTGCCTCAATATTTCTTAACTCTCTCCAATTCATCATCTCTGATCTGGACTAAAACAAGATAATCTGTCTTGATGCCAGAAAAAAAATCTACCTCAAATGCAAATCTGATCATTTTCTATCTTGGCTTCAAATCCTTCATAGGCCACAGGATAAAGTCCAGAAAGTCTGGCATGACATATAGGGCCTTCCAAGGGCTGGCCTCTATCAGCTTTATCCACCCCAGAAACCTGGACACCCTGTCAACAGTGTACGGTTTGCAGCCTCCCTCACACAGTGTCAGGATTCTGCTTGTGCTCCTCTTGTTGTCTGGAGGAGGATGGAAAGGGGAAATTCTCCCCGTGGCAGAACTGGGAACATCTCCTTGTCTGGTATCCCCAAACCTTTGCCCTGTACATCTATTCCACCTGGCTCTTTCCAAGTTAAACCCTTTTATAATAAACTGGTAATCTAGTAAGTAAGATCTGAGTTCTGTAAACAGCTCTGGCAAATTAACTGAACTTTATGAGGAGGGACGGGGGTCACTGGAATGTCTGATCTATAGCCAGTCGGTCAGAAGCATAGGTGTCAACCAGGGCTTACAAGTGCCTTCTGAAGTGGGAGGAATCTTATAGGACTGAGCCCTTAGCCTGTGGGATCTGATGTTATCTCCAGATAGACAGAGTCAGAACTGACTTGCACTGCAGGACACCCAGATGGGGTCTGAGAATGGCTTGGTGTTGTGGGGAGCAGCCCCCCTGGCCCCTACCTACACACACTGGCAGCAGTAACCTTTTAGAACTCTTACTAAGCATCACCTTACGCCCCCTCTCTGAGGGCTCCAACCAGAGAGTCACCAACGATGGCTGTCAGAGACACCACGGGTGCAGGGAGCGGGGTAGACACGTGGGGAAGGAAGGACTGGCAAAGCTACGTCCTGAGGCTGCATGCTCAGGCGCTGATGCAGCATTGCTTGCTATGTTTTCCTTCTCCAAACGTCTCCATTTTCAAAGAACCTGGCATTTCTAAAAGGTCATCAGTTTCGGTAGCCCGGCGGTGCCAGAAGTGGAGAAATTGAAGACAGGAGAGAAATCTCTCACCAGCGGCAGCACATGATCCCTTAGCAGACAAGCACTGAGGAAGGAGCGCATCGGACCCAGCACTCACCGGGGGAGGACCACGTTACCTTCGTCAGATGCTGCTCCGAGGAAAACCCCAGACCAAACACTGTGTTGGCTCTGCTGTCGGCCCACTGCCCAAACTTCTGCGACGTTTTGGTGAAAGTCATGTTGGGTGTGATTGTGCTGTTTATGATCACCTGTAGCAAGACAGCCCAGAGGGCAGACATTTAAACACTGAATCAGACACCAAAGTAACTCCTTAAAAAGTCCTTTGTTGGCAAAGCTGGCACATAAAGCCTGTGTCCCCACTGTTATGTCTGCTCCTGAGCTCCTCCCCTTCCGGCTCATCCCACGCTGAGTCATTCACACCATCATGATAAGGGGCAATTTCAGAGACTTAAAAACAGACAGTCGGCCTAAAATAAGACCTCACAAGTTATCAGTGAGAGAAAGTAGAGAATAATTTCCAAAGCTGCTATTTATTTTCCCAAAGCTGTCACGCATCCAGTTGCCCTGAACGGCTAGCCATGTCACACGCCTTCTGAACAACTACACTATATACCTTCTGAAGCGCCTGGAGCCCCCGAGTCCAGCTCAAACCATCCGGCATCTCCATGAGCCACTAGTGCTTGCTGCTTCCCCACGGGAAAGAAAAGGCACACTCCAACTGGGATAATTTATGGAGGGTTAATTTACAAACAGACCAATTCCATGAGTGTGGGCTGGGTGTAGGGAAATTGTAAGGGACAGTGCAGGGACCTGGGGCAAGATGCTGTCACCATTCCTTGGCTTTAAAGGATGAAAGGTTATGGGACGTGGAATGAGAGAGTTGTGGAGTCCAGGCTGCCTGAACAAGAAGAGTGACCTTCTTTCTGCTGAGGGGCACGCCAGCACCTGGTGAGCTCACAGGAGGGGGAGCTGGCAGAACAAATGCCCTCACCTCTGTCCCTCTGGTCTCCTGCCATTGGCCAAACCCAACCAGAGCCAGAGGCCCCACGAGCCCATGGATGTCGTCAGCAGGTCAGCCTCTCAGGGACCAGAGCAGGGTAAAGAAGAGTAGAGAACGTATCTGGAGGGGTAAAAGGATGGTGTCCAGCACATGGTGCCCTCATATGTTCAATAAACATTTACTGAATGTTCGCTGCATGCCTGACATTCTACCAACCCAAAGCTACAAAGATGAAGGAGTGAAGATTCCAGGTCTTCAAGTTGCTGTAGTCAGGAAGAGGGTAGAGACATGTAAATAAATAATCACTGCACAATTGATGAGTGTTACAAAGTATCAATAATAGGCTCCCTGGGCAGAAATCCTTGGAAGCCTCAGTGCTAAATACTAAACTACTAAAGATGAAAAAGCTCCTCATATCAGCTCACTTAAACCTCACAACAAACCCAGGACGTATGACCACCCACTTCACCTCGCAGGAGAAACTGAGCTGGCCAGTCACAGAGCCTAGAGACAAAACCCAGGTTGTTGGACTCAAAACCCTGTATTCTGAATTTCTCTATGTGTTTCTCCTTCCACACGTGACGACTCCTGTTCTCCCCCCCGCTGAGAAGTGCTGCCATCTTCACTGCACTCCGGGCTGCCTTTCCTTCCTGTGCTGGCTCTGCTCTAACACCAAGTCCATGTGAGTTAAGACACTTTATTGCATGTTTTCCAGACAACTGGATGCAGCAGTTCGTCAAAAGCTCTGCCTGCTTTCACTGGACACTATCAAGGAATGGGGGCAGAGGAGTGAGGTATGGAAAACACAGATCCAAATCAGGGGCAAGGATAAGGGAATGTTTCCTGGACTTCAAAAGCTAGCTGGGTTCTGGCTCAGCTCCAGGCAGGACCAATGTCGTGGAATGAAAGCAGGCCAAGGGAGAGCACGTGGCTGGGAGCTGGATCAGAGCGGATCACGGGATCCCAGAAAGTCAACCCTGATCACTTCTCCATCACCAGGCTCCTTGGACGGCAAAGCAATGACCAGACCCGTCCAGAAACTTGATTCATTCTAAATATTTCTGCTCTTTCACAACAGACCTCTGCCTCTAGGTCAGCCTCCACACCCCCTCCCTGAGGTCTCCTTGAAAGACAGATGACAGAGGATGACAGACCTCTGAAGCTAGTCTCAAACAGACTGTCCCAGGGTCAAACTGGAATAATAATAGTCATGCTGCCCCCTGCCCCTGGTATCTCCTGAGAACTTAACAGTTCCTACGATAGTTTTTCACAGTCTTTCATCTCATCTCCAGTTTTACAGACGGGGAAACTGAGGTGCAACAAAGTCCAATGACTTGCTCAAGGTCCTAAGACTAGCAACTGGTTAAAAAGAATATAATGTATGTATACAAAACAATGATTAACTAAATCTATATTTACGCTGCTTGGGGGTTCATTCAACTTCTTAAATCTGTGAACTCATCGATTTTGGAAAATTCATCAGTTTCTAGAAAATCCTCAACCGTCCTCTCTATGCATGTTGCCCCCGCTCCATTCTCCCTCTCCTTCTGGGACTCCAACTACGCATACGCTAGGTCTTCTGAGTTCTGTCCAACATGGTTTACACTCTTAACAGTTTCACCCCCAGATTCTTGATTCTCTTCATTTCAACTTGATCATCATTTCTATTGATCTCTTGTCCAGTTCACTTATCTTGGCTGTTGATATATTTGAGCAGCTGTTAAGCCTATCCATTGGGTTTCAAATTTCAGACTTTGTCATTTTTCAGTTCTAGAATATCCATTTGATTCTTTAAAAAAAAATTCTAAGCTTCTGGAACTATTCTCCTTCTTTTCGTCTATTTTGTCCACTTTTCCCTATATTTCCTTGAATTTATTAATCACAGTTATTTAAAAATCCTTGATGCTAACTCTTAACATTTGGATTATTTTTGAATCTACTTCTGTTCTCTAGTTTTGCCCTCTTGATTCTAGGCATGTGGTAATTTTTTTTATTGTACAGTAGAAAATGGGTATAAAAGGACTATTAGGGCTTCACACAACGTAACCACCTACCAGGGAGAATCTTCCCTTTCCTCTGCTAGGCAAGCAGAGCAGACAGGGAATCCCTAGCTCCCTCAGGGACTGAGCGTCAGTTCTGGTAAGGCTCAGTCTGCCTCTGGTTCACCCCTGTGTTTAGGGCAGGCCTTCTAAAGCTTTCACCTGAGAGCCTGGCAGGTCTTTATCTCCTCTTCCCTGAAAGATGGCAGGAGATTCACTCCTGTCCGTCACAGGTTTTCAGCTTCATTCCGTAGCCTTCCAAATCTATGCATCTTCAAAATGTGGCAAACCTTAAAGGAGAAGCTAGCCATGTCTTTGGGGCCACTCAGGTCTCCAATTCTGTCACTCAAGTTCCAAAATCTCTTCTGCTTCTCTGTTCCCCAGGTGTAGTCTTTCCCAGGGACCAAGCCTGGTTTTTCAGCATCTTGCCGCTCCTGAGTAGGGTATGGAGATACCCAGCGTCAATTCCCCTCTCCCTCTGGGGCTTTCCTGTCTTTACTGTTCTCGTCTCAGACCCATTGGCAGGTGTTTGCTTTCTAAGCAATTTTACTCTGCCTTTCAGACATGCCCAGTTTAACCCTTTACACTGGCACAGACTTGGAATTCAGCAAATGTCCTGTGGGTAAAACCAGCCATGGGTTTGAAGCCCCTCAAGTGTCCACTTTGTCCCTCTAGCCCTGTGCACCGCCAAATGTTTTGTTAGTGTCTCTTTCTCCCAGCATCATCTCCATACCTGGCCAAGCCCCAATCTCTACCCAGACACCCAGGACTGGCAAATGCTCGCAATAGAGAAAAGAGCAACTGACTGTCACCTCTGAGTGGTCCTCAGCTGTCTGGAATTTCAGTCCCTCTAGTCCCCAACATTTCTACAGTTCCCTGATGCCTTCAGGTTGTGCTTATCCAACTTTTTCTAGTTGCCATCAGAAGGAACACTGGCCTGCTGGAATCTATGTATTTTACTCAAAAGCAGAAGTGCTGAATTATGGAGATGTAATTTACTATGTGTCTCAAGTGACACTTTCCTATAATGTTTATGGGAAGTATGCAACCTCTCATAAGGTTGCCGTTTATATCAAGAAGCAAAATTGAACTTCAACATGCCAATGTAGCTTATTCGTTATAACTTCAAATAGGTAGCTAAGATTAGCCACAGACACTCCCCAAGTCCTCCGATCACCCAGGGCTCACTATAAGCAGTGATTTCAGACCTCTCACCTACCACCCAGCTCTTTCCTCCTCTCCTGTATTACGTGGGTGTTGGTGGCGGCTGGGGTGGAGGTAGAGAAATGGATCAGAACACCCAGCCTATAATTTAGTTCACCAAACCCACCCTACTTCATTTTCTCCAGTCTTACAAGAGAAGGGTCCATTCACCTGCCCAGAACTAAGCCTCCTTCAGTCCCCTAGGTCCCATCTCCTCCCCCCCACCCCCAGGATGTCCCTCCTACTCAACTAATGCACTAGGTGCTCATCACCACAGACCCAGAGTAGACAAAATGTCTATTCACTCCTGGAACATGAACTCCCAGTCTTGAGGGACCTCTTCATCAAAACTTTGCAGTGGGAGTGCCTTTGTCCTCCTCATCCCCTGCTGACATGCCCGCTCTGCTGGGGGACTGCTTTGATCCTGGTTCAGCACCACTACCTCTCACTCTGTCACTGGCATCAAGGTGTCTAGGCGTTTACCAAACACAACCGACAGGATCCCATGAACTGGAGGTCAGCCAGGAGGGAGAAAAAGGAAAGCCTGCTCCCTTCACTGTGCTGCTCCTGCAGTCCCTCGGGCTGGTTCTCTGTAGACCTTGCCACATTCTGGCTGTCTCCTAATGACTCACCAAAGGCTCTGGGACTTCTGGAACTTCCAAGATCCATCGGGGAGGAGAAAGAAGAAAGAGGAAGAAAAGCCATCATTTATTCTCCAGTACCCTTTACACTGCCACGACTCACCAGAGGTAGCTGGTCTGAACAATCTCAAGGTCATAACAGTCAACCCATCTCTACAATTTGTGAGGCAATTGACTGGCTATTCTCCCAGGAAAGGCAGTGCACTGAACCTTCTCAAAAAGCAAGACTGACAGCTAGGGCAATCTAGCCATCAAAAAATGGTCAATCCTAGAACCTTATTCCTTCCTTTCCCACTAACAAGAGAACTCCATCCTGTGCTATACTCGGCTCAGCCCACCAAGACCAAGTCCTCTCCTGAGAAGCT